AAAGGCAGAGGTGTGTGAGGGGTGGTTGCTGGGACTTGGGGCTAGTCAAGGGGCTGCCCCAAGAGTGTATCCCACCCTAGACCTCCTTTCTTGCTCCAGATCTCTACCTGTGCCCATTCTACAGATGGCAAAAGTGAGGCACATGGAGACTGGGTCTTGTCCACAGACACAAGAGCCAGTGTCACACCCTGATTGGAGTGCCAGTTGGCAAACAGGAACCAAATAACAAGTCAGCATGAGCCGTGGGGTGAGCTGGGGACAGAGGTGTTAGTGGCCTGGGCCTCCTTTGCCCTGCTGATCTTGACAGGGACCTGGCAGCTCAAGGTTGGCACCTGCCACACATTTTGGACTAACACCCTCCTCGGTAGTTCTTGGGCCTCTTAGGAGCAGGCCCCTTGCTAGAGACCCTGGGACAATGGAAAGTCATAATGCTTTACCCCAGTGGGCTCCCAGCATGGTGCTGGCGATAGACTCATGGACATCCTTGGGTCGATGGTGCCTCTTTTACCCAAAATGCCAGGTGAGGGCGTCTAGAGCCCCTGGGAGCAAAGGCCAGGCATGGAGCTTCTTCCGTGTGCCAGGCATTTGCTCCTAGACAAAACAGGCACCCAGCCCTCCTGGGCTGCACTAAACAGGGTAATGTGTAGGACCTTAGACTGTGTCAGTGGCCAAGGAAGAGGAAGCAGAAAGGCAGAGAGTCTGTTTTTGTTAAAAGGTGGCCTAATTTTGCATTCAAATGCCCTACATTAGGGAAACTGAGCAGCATTTCCCCAAGATAATCAAGGAAGGGAGAAGCCAAGATCTGAACCAGGATGTTGAATGAGGAGCGCTGCTCTGCACCACCAGGCAACACCATCTTGCAAACAACTGCAGCAGAGATAAATTGATCCGGAGTGGCTTCCAACAAGAAAGTGTGTAGTTTGAGCAGTTTGTTCATTCTGCGCAATCAGAAGGTCTTCTCGGAGGAGTTGGCAGCGGTCAAGGCGGGTTGGGGAGGTCTCTGCCGCTGCCATCAGAGGGTACCCTGGTGAAGGGCACTGTGTAGGCCTGGGCTGCCTCCTGGTCTCCTCTGGCTGCTGCCCACTGTCTGGAGGGCAGGCCACATTCTCTCAGCCAACCCTGCCTTCTGCAGCCTGCTTGGCTTGGAAACCAAGCAGGGATAGACAAGAAGTCCCTTCCCGTGCCAGTCAATGCCAGGCCCACAGCCAGCCTATGGCTGGAACCCTTCTGCCTGCCTGCAAGATGGCACAGGAGCTTCGGGCCCAAGTCCTGGCCCAGTAGAAAGACTCTGGGGGTAGAGGTTGGGGGGAGCCCTTTGGCTGAAAAAATGCAGAGCGAGGGAATTGATTTTTTTTTTTTCAGCCACACAGTCGTAAACATAAACTGGAAGACACATCTCTGCTTTTATGGGAGACAATCAAAAACACAATACGAGTTTATGGAGGGAATGTGTCTTTCCTGCGCAGGATATTTTCCCCCAAATGCTTGGCAACCTGAAAAACCACTTCATTCCAGAGATAAGTAATCAAGTAGAAGAGGAAGGGAGGGAGAGGGAGCCTGTGGCTTTATGAGCCAGCGGCCCTGCTAAGCCAGTGCTGAAAAGGGGGTGCTCTCCTCCGCGCTTTTCCCTGCCCTGAAGACCCAGGGCAGCCCAAGAGGGGCCCAGACATCTCTATGCCTGGTTCTGTGTTGGAGCTGAGGAGGATGGCAGCTGATCCTCACCTTTATAGGACCAGCCAGCAGGGAAGATAGGGGCTTAGGCCACTGATGCTGTCCCTTACAAAACGAAGTGGGACGGTGTGGACACCTTTTCTTTCCCTTCCGTGCACATCTTTCCTTTGCCCCTGGAATGGCCCCAGGGCACCCTGCCAGGCACCTACCACTGGATCACTGAGGCAGGGCCTCCCTGGAGAGCGGGGGGTGCCTAGCATTGGGCTGCTCAGAACTCCATGGCTAATCCCTGTAGCGGAAGGGACTTCTAGCCCAGCCAGGAGCAGACGGGGCTGTGCTATGTAAGCTCAGCTTCCACCTTGAGCACTGACTGCAGGCTTTGTGCTTTCTTCTGATACTACGGGCACCTACATGGCTGGCGGGGGGTGCAAGCCAGGAGGGAAGTGAGTGACCACCCACCCCCGGGGGAAATCCCCTGACAGGAGCCAGGGGATAAATTTCCCTTCCCGGGAGATCCAGAGAGTACAGCCTGCCCTCCAGCCAGGCTTCTCTGCTAGTGCCCCCTTGGGTCATGTTTCCTCCTTTCCTAACTCAGTCCCCAACTCCCCCCAGGCGCTTCTTGAAATGTTCTTCCCAGCACACCACCCACTCCCGTCCTGGCCTCAGGCTTTGCTAGCAAGGGGACCCACACTCAGGAGGCCTTACCTCATCCATGCTCTGCCATATGCAACGTCTCTGGCCTACCAGGCGCCTCTAGAACTGCTCAAGGCAGATGCTTTTGGGGGTGACATAGAGGACAGTAGGCTCCCTCCCCTCCCTTAGGAGCTGTCCTGCCTCCTCTCCAACTTGACCACTGATACAGCAAGGATTTGGAGCCTTGGGGCAGGGCTCAGCTCCACCACCACCACCACCACCACGGTAACCTCAACCCTCCTAGCTATCTTTTCTTTGTCTGATGGCACCCATGTTAAGGATCCATGTGATCTCAACAAGGTCACGTCTGGAGATACATGCTCCCAAAGGAAAAACACGAACCACTATTTGAATGAATTTTTTCTCCTGAACAGACTGCCAAGTCCCTGAAGGCGAGGGACTTCTTTATTTGTTCCTGTCTCCCCCACAGCACCAGCATGGAGCTGGGTACACAGGAGGCGCCCACTGAGAATTTCCTGGGTGCAGTGGGGCTGGGACTGGGCCCTGAGCTCCAAAAGAGGCTGGATGATGGGCCCTTCTCTGAGTGTCCCTGGGCCAGTTGGAGCCGGTCAGGCCCCATGCCACTGAGGAGACAAGTTGCCTTCCCATGCTGGGGACAGAAGGCAGGCAGGCCAGAACCCGGCAGCGGTGGCATTCGAGGAAGCAGCTACCCCTGCCCTCCTGAACACCCAGGATGGCCATGATGGGGGCTCTTTCATCAGCCCTGAGCTCTGTTTGAGTAAAGGGAAAAATTTGGCTTCCACTCCAAGGCAACTGCCTCCGACATCTGGCAGCTCAAAGTGAAGTGACTCATGCGGTCCTTAGATATGAGAAGTTGGGGGAGGAGGAAGAGAGGAGAAGAAAACCACACCAAGAGAGGGAGGGTAGCCTGGCCTCGCGGCCCAGGGAAAGAACTGGCAGGGAGCAAATGACAACATGTGGTCCCTCTCTGTGGTGTTCACCTGGCTTTGGGCTTGGTGACAGGACTCCTAAGGGACACAGGTTCCACCCAGTCCAGGCAGAACAAAAGGAGCCCCTCGGCCTCTTGGGCAGCAGTATTTCTCAAGTTTCCCCAGCAGGGTGGCCCCCAGGGCCCCGTCCCTGCTATCTCTCTCCAGACCTGGCTCTTGCGGAGCAGCAAGGGTGTCTGCAGGCAGAGGCCCAGCCAGGGCCCAGCCAGGCTCCACATGCCCAGAAGAAGGGGGTTTCCCAGGGATGTGTGTTCTGGCTTTGATCTGTCCCCTTCCTGAAAGCCCTTGGGCCCAGAACAGGGCCTGTGCATGGCGGCTGCACCATAAATCTCTGTTGAATGAACGAATCGGTGAATGAATGGATGGATGGCTAAATGCATGAATGAGTAAATGGGAGGCGGACTTGGGTTACTAAGCAGATCTTGCCTATGGGGTGTCCCCAACTCCCAGGAAATCCCATCCTTCCTAGATGCCCCACCTCTGCACCCCAGAACTCCCCCTGCCTCCCTCCAGCCTCTATCCCACCTGCCCTACAGCCCTGCAGCCCTGCAGCCCCAGCCAGCTCTCAGCAAGGCTGCCAGGCTTTTGTTGTGATGGCTGTCAGTTCTCAGGTAACAGCTCCCGTGGAGAACCAGCTGCCTTGGACAGAAAGTTTGCAAATGCATCTTGGGTGGGCAAAGGTGGGCAGGGAAAGAGTCAGAAAACAAGCACAGCTGTGTGGTCTCTCTAGCCTCTGGGAGCCCTACAGGACACGCACTAAGGCCACCAGACTGTCCCTTTCTGGCCCAGGCCACTCCATGGCTAGAAGAAAGACAGAGAGAAACTGCAGTCTAGAACAGACTCATACCTGACTCCCTGTGGGATGACCAGGCATCGGTGGGGCCCCTGTGTGTCTGCACAGCTGGGGACACAGGGCTGGGGGTCCCCAGGGCAGGAGTAAGGAAGGGCAGCCCATCTGTTTTCAGGAGTCCCAACTCAACCAGAGCAGCCTCAGCCCAGTCCCTGTCCCCAAGGCTGATGATGTCAAGGGGCCTAATTGTGTCTAATCGGGGTGACCACCTCCAGAACTCTCATGTCCCGGGAAATCCCTCAGTCCCAAGCAAACTGGTCACCTACCTCCATTTGTGCCCTGTGTCCATTCTGGCAGCCGGGCACAGCCTAGGCACGAATCCTAAGGCTTCCCCAGTTCCCTGTGCCACCTCTGTAGGGCCTGAGCCTTGCTGGGAACACCTCTGGTCTCCCATGAAGGTCCCCAAGGACATCCCACCCAAGAAAGCTCCCATGGGGCTACTACAGGGCTCCAACTGGCCAGGTGGAGTTTGGCATTGTCCTGCCAGGACCCTGTCCTGCCATAACAAGATGCTGACAAATCGCTTCTCCAGGTGTCTTCTCCAGGGCACAGGCTGAACTCCAGGCCCCTGGCCCCTGAGGGGAAAGGCCCAGGCCTAGGCCCAAAATCTAACCGCTGTGCCTTGCACCCTGCGTAATCAGCAGGCTGCCCTTTGGCCTCCCCTTTGCTGCCTCTGCGCAAGGCTCTGCAGCCGGCCTGCATCTCTAACTGGGTCACCTGTACCCCACCCCCACGACACCACCGGAGATAGCATTTCAGCTGCAATTAAGAATTTCAAGTTGCAATTAAAAATTAATTGGAAACTGTGGGTTGTTTATGTCCCCCGACCTCTGTCACGGTGGGTGAGGGGGAGCGAAGAAGGACAGGTTGGGAGGGGACTTTCAGGGTGGTTAACGCGGAAGAGGAGGCCTTCTAAACTGAGCTGACCGAGGGTGAATCGGAGCCCCTTCCTCCTCCTGGAAGCAAGAAGGATGGCGTCAACCAGCTGGCCTTCGATGTCTGAATTCCCTGAGAGCCCCAGAAGCTGGGGAGCCGGGAGTGGGAGAAGAGAAAGAGTGGAAGACCCCTGAGTAAGGAGCTGTGGCAGAGGGACATGAAGGTAAAGGTGAAGGTCGTGTCTAAGGTCACAGTTGCTTCCCTTCCCAAGTACACCACAGGCAGCAGCGTAGGTGAGGAAAGGGGACCAGGAAACTCACCCTCCCTGGAGCCCCACAGACATGCCCCTGGGGCAGAGGGGGGAGCCTGGGGACCTCTGGTGTCCTGACCTTGAAGTGGCCTCCATGGTCTCTGGGCCCAGGTCTTGGCATCCAGACCCCACAGGGAGCCGGGGCTGGCGTTCTGGGGAAAGAGACTCTGGACAGTACTATCATCTGAACCTCTGCCTCTAGGTGGCCCGTCCCCCTCTGTCTCTTCTCCAGGCTTGCTGCCCTCCAAGGGCCTTTCTGCATTTGTCTGAACTCACCATTTATGTCATCTAGCTTTCCTCTTCTAGCGCCCAAGATGGCTGCTTAACCTCCACCAATTATACCTATATTCTGGGCAAGAAACAGGAATAAGGAGAATAGTAAATAAAGTTTACATGTCATCTGCTTGTCTTCTACTTAGGGGTTATTTCCCACAAACCTTCCCTACAACATCTGCTTAAAAAGCTACCCTGCAGCATCACTTGTGAGACCTCTAGCTCCAAAGGAGCCTGAGAAACATAGTCTTTTTTTTCAAATCTTGAAACATGAATTCTTTTTTGGGGGGGAGGGGGGAATATATTTTAGCTGGGATTTTTGCAACAACAGAAGAAATCTGAGGTTCTACTACTAAGACGAAAGGGAGTGCATGGCTATAGGAAATGCAGTAAGTGAGCTCAGCCGCACCAGCAACCCCAACAAGCTGGATGAGCCTCAAGAGCTTGTATGTGGCTGCCTGGGTCAAGATGCCAGCGCTTCCTTGGGGAGAGGGGCTGCGTGCATTGTGGTCGCCCTGGGCCTCCACCTGTGGGTCCAGAGAGTAGGAGGCCAAAGGTCACCTGAGCAGAGCTGCTTCCGGACAGGAGACAGTTGGAGGAGGAGGGGAGGCCAGGAGAGGCCCAGGCTGAGCTGAGTGCTGAGCAGAGACATGGTGATTTTTTCTTGCATTTGCTGTTTCAAACCCCAGGTCTTCGAGAGCACTTCCAGCAGGCACTGGGCACTGTAGCTGCTGCCTCCTCCAACCCTCTCTTAATGAAACACCTTTGCCTGCCTCCGGCTCCCGCCAGGAGAGGCACAGGATGCTGCCAGGGGCCTGTGGTCCACCCTGCTGTTTCTATTAGGAAAGATACGTCTTCCGAGGACGTCCGCAGAGAAGCTGCTAATTAGGGAGAAAACAAACCATCTGCTTGCTCCCAGCTGACCCGGACACCCGAAAGAGGTTGCCCCAGGTGGGGACCCTCACTGGACAGACTCACTCTGAGCACCTAAGTTCTGTCAGGCGTGGCTGTGTGATGGGAAGATACAGCCCTGCCAACAAGTAGTCAGGAACGGACAGGTGTTAGAGCGGAGAAGGGATGGCAGAGATGGGCCACTGCAGGGGGAGCCGGCCAGCAAGGGAGATGAGGGAGAGGAGGAGGAGGACAAAGAAGAGGAAGAGGAGGAAGAGAACAACTAGCCTCCGTCCTAAGGATCAAGCTAGGCTGTGACAGCACTGGGCCTAGCAGGACCTCACTGGCCTGATGCGTCCCAAACACTTACCGTGTGGCGGCTCAGTCCTAGACCCCGGGGTGCTAGATGGCAGCACGGCAAGCCCTGCCCTCTGGACTTCCCGTCCAGCAGGCAGAGATGGAAGGTAAAAGAAAGCACAATTAAAGTTGAACATAAATTCTAATCCATGGGAAAACCAAGCCAGTCAGGACAGAGGGAGAGATGGGTGGGGGAGAAGGCTGCTATTTCCTGCAGGCAAGTCAGGAAAGTTTGGAGTTCAGATGCCCAAGCCAGGATTGGGGCACTTTGAGGATCTGCAGGCCTAGGGATGTCAGGTGCACGAAGACATCCAGTGCAAAGGCCCGGGGGCAAGGAGTGCTCAGCACTGGCTGAGAAGCAGCAAGGAAACCCTGTGGCTGGGACAGAATGAGGGATGAGGCAGAGAACAAGAGGGAGGCCGGGGTGGTGAGAGAGGGCAGGTCACGGTGGCTGACAGGCCACAGTCTCCTGCCACAGTATGGAAAGCAGGCCAGGGGACAAGGAGGAAGCAGAGAACTCAGCTGAAGGAATATTACAATCACCACAGGAGGACAAGAATGTTTTGGTAAGGACAGTCAGGTGTATTTGATTAAAGAAAAACAATTCACCCAGTGTGATATCACAATGCCTGTGATCCCAGCACTTGGGAGGCTGGGGCAGGAGGATCTCTTTGAAGTCAAACTCTCCTGAGCTACATAGCAAGATCCTGTCTCTAAATAAAGAAGGAAAAGAAAGAAGAACGACTTAAAATGGTCTAAGAATGAAATAAGGAAAAAAAAGGAATATATTTACATAAAAGATAGGTTTCAGTGACAGTTAGGAATGTGCAGGGACTAGTGATTCAGTCCTGTCTTGTTTCTTTGTGTTTTAGTTATTAAAAGATATTCTGTACCCGAAGTGGAAAAAAAAAAGATAGGTTTCAGGTACAGTTGGATGAAGTGTGCAATGGAAGTCATAGGGAATCCACAGTTTTCTCCGGATGGACCCTGGCACCCTCAGCTTACACCCTCCCAGCTAAGCATGGTGATAGTAGGCACTCCTTTCCAGGTGGTTCCAGCAAATGTCCCAGAGCAAGATCCCACTGGCTGGTTGAACAGGTGTGACTGTCACTATGACTCTGACTGGTTCAGCCTGGGTGAGGTGCCTGTCTCGGAGCCCTGGGGCAATGGGAAGATGAAAGAGAAAGGAGCCATCCTTGAGAGCTTCCTGGACCAGGAGGAGCTGCACAGAGCCCAGCAGTTAGCTGCAGTGACAAGAGAGCAGACGGCCAGGGAGGGCCCCTTGCCCTCAGAATGCGACCCACTGGCCGCCTCCCTGGCCACCTTGGGAGCAGCTGCCATATGATGCTTTACACACAGCCACCATTCCAAGTGGATCACTGCGAGTGGTTTAATCACCCACATTAGCCCGCCAGCTCCAGCTCCTCCTCACCCAGCGCCGGGGGGGAGGGGACGCTTTGCCACGACTTCCCGGGTCACATCCACCAAGAAGCTCCCAAACGATGGTGCCTGGCCCACCAGGGTGTGGAAGGAACCCTTGGGATGTGGGGGGAAGTCTTTGAATTTTTATTTGTATTTTCTCCTTTATCTTATCCTCTGAAAATTACTATTTTATATGTTTTCTAACATATAGCATAGATTAGCACAGAAAGGTATGCATATAATCTGCAAAGGAATTTGGATCAGTCTCCACGGGGGTGTGCTGACCTTTTCTAATGGATAGGCGTGAGCAATCAGAAATGCTGTGGTCCTTCCTTGATAATGATAACTAAGGCTCATGTGGAGCATATCCTTTGCTCAGTACTTGTTGGCACCCCAAAACAGCCCATTTTACAGATGAGCAAACAAAGCACAGAGAGGTTTAGGAATTTGCCTGAAACTGCTCAGCCAGGAAGATGTACACCCAGCCATCCAGCTTGGAGTCCAGGATGCCTTTCTGGTGAGATCAGGGTCTTCAGACAGGAAGTAAAGGAAAGGGGCGGCCCTATGGGGGAGGAATGGTACGGGCCTGCCGCCGTCCCAGCCAGCCTGACCTTTGTGTTCCCAGTGAGGGTTGCGGAGTGAGACCTTTGCTTTCATTTCTCTTCAGGGAAGATGAGGAAGGGATGATGGGTTTGTTGGATAGGACAGGGTGACTGGCTGGTGGTGGGAATTCTGTCCTCTGAGAAAACTTCCAAATGGGGGAGAGAGAGGGAGGGAGGAGCAAAAAAGGGCTGGAAGTATAAAAGGACTAGCAGGGGCTGGGCAGTGGGCAGCAGAGGGTATGAGGGACACTGCAGATGTGAGGGTGCCTGGTAGGCTGCCATCTAGAAATTTGAGGAACCAGAGCTGGCCTCAAAGAGTGAGATGCAGGCCCCAAGAATCTTCTGTACCACCAGGCGTTGTGGTGCACAGTTGCCATCTCAGCACTCAAGAAGCTGAGGCAGGAGGATCGCTGTGAGTTTGAGGCCAGCCTGGACTATATAGTGAGGTCCTGCCCCTCTCCAAAAAACCCACAAAAGAAAAAAAAAAAAAAATGCCTCCCTACTTCAGCATTCCTGCCTTTGGCTAAATTCTCTAGCACCCAGTGCACACTTTGGTGCTGTACCCATTCCCTGTGCCCTCTCCTAACTGGATGCCACTCTTGAAGCCAGCACCCTTCACCTGTGGGGTGTGGCTCAAGTATGTCCCCAAATGCATGTGCTGGAGACTTAATTCCCAAAGCCACAGTGTTGGGAGGTGACTGGGTCACGAGGGTTCTACCTTCAGAACAGATGAAGGCCTTTGTCCCAGGGGCAGGTTTGTTCGTGGGGAACCGGGGTCCTTCTCCCACCTGCTACTGGGATGCAGCCTGCCAACCCTCATTGATGCTGTCCCCTGGATTTTGGAAACCCCGCCCCCAGAATGTTGGGCCAACACATTTCTGTTTATTATAAATTACCCAGCCTTGGCATTCTGCTATATCCACACAAAATGCAGAGATGGACGTGGGCACAGGTACAGGAGAGCAACTCAAGGTTCTAAGGCTCAGGACAATGACCAAGGTGAGGCAGGATTGGACCTAGTCTGCATAGCTCCACAGCCCATTCTCCTAAGGATTTCCTTACCCCACTCCAGCAGGAGTCCCCATGTCCCTAACACCTGGCTCTAAGCGGAAGTCAACTCCCTGGAAATGTTAGCTTCAGATGCAGCTGCAGACTGGACTCTGAGCACCATCACACACTGAGCCCTGATCCTGGTCACACATAGAGCTCTGTGAAGTCACGTTCAGAAAAAAGGCCACATCACCATTTGTTGAGCACGTCTTTGCTGTTGGACCTCTGAGATGTGGACTCGTATCAGGACCTCCTTGGTGAGGATCTGGGAAGTCTGCCCCTGTGGGATGCTGACCAGGGAACATTCAGAGTTGGGTTGTAGATTCAGAGTCCAGAGACTCTAGATCGGAGCAGAAGGGCGGTGCAAGGCTGAGAAGGTAACTATTGGGCAGGCAGGATGTCCAGGTCGAGGCAGAGCTGCCTGGAAGCCAAGGCTTTGGGGAGGCAGCGGCTGTCATAGCGCAGGAGTGGACAGGGAGTGAATGAATGAAGCAACATAGTCATTTCCAGGTGGCTGAGCTGCTGTGTGGACAGTCCATGCCAACACCCCAACCGCCCCCACGCATCTCTGCCTCTCTTCCGGCCTGGTTTCGGTGATTCTTCCTCCTCGTTCCCTGCAGACACTAAGCTCATCCAGCTGGGACGCACGGGGTTGTCAAACTACTATGTGACCTTGGGCAAGTCGCTTCTGTCTCTGTTGCAGTTCTCTCTCGAGAAGTTAGGACGGCTGTCCTACCATCTCAAAGGTCGGCTCC